CAGATGTTTCAGTGATTTCAGTGATGACTTTCGCTGCTTATACTGATAAGAGCGATATAGTTCAGTTCTTTGGGTGTTGAACGTTAGAATGAACGAACATTTCAGAAGAGAGTCGTGAATCCCATAAGCAACAGACTGCTGTCGGATCGAATTGAAGTTCACTAGCAATTCGTTGCTTCGATTGAATTTGCTTTCTGAGTGCTGATAACATCACTCGCAGCTTGTATCGGATAAGAACCACATCGATTTGTTATTCGTCGAATGCCGCTACATGGAGTACGAGAACGACCGTTTTGACGAGTTGAAGATGAACCGGATGTCTCAGTTGTTGACATTCCTTTCCGCAACTGAAAATCAAATCAGCTAGAGCTGCAGTAGATTATGCACATATATCTTGGCGTTTCCACCGACTAAATCTTAATCATGATTGACTCTTGACTTGATCACTTGTTGGGTCAGGTGTTCTAAAGGTTTAGCGGAATTCAAAAGAAAAATCACATTTAGTTAAAGTTGATTTAAAAATCATTACTTTGTTAGCTGAAGGAGAAAATGAACGAACCTGCTTATCAGTGCACAATCCGAGGACTGCATCAATGAGAATTCTAACAAGTAATGAGGTCCTGAAAGTTGCGATCGAGATCTGAGTTCAAAATGACTTCAAAAGAAATGACTCAATAGTATTCAGCTGTGTGATTAGTACGGATAACCCCAAAGCAATGGAATAATCATGAACAATAGTAATAGCAACGATAACAATCTATCAAANGCCAAGAATATCAGAGTGAAATGCTCACCACACACATCCAATCAGCCCGACCATTTCAGGGTGAAACACAATTATGGAGCAATGACTTCGCGGCATCAACACGATCGTCATAACGATATAGAAGAAGTTGAACAGTGCAAATGTCAACACGTTCAGAGTCAATTTCCAAAATGGGAATCGACTCGCAAAACGGCAACTCGACCTTTTCTCGACCATTGTCTGTAGAGAATTGCTTGAATGACGTATTGTCCTTAACAGAGCCGCTGAAACACTTTTTCATTTTTTGCGATTAACTCAAGTTGACAACGATCTGATGAATGTACTGAACATCGAGCACAGTTCACCAACATATCATAGTGAATATTATCAAATGCTCTAAAAATACTTATGATATCAGAGTAGCAATGATGAGAGCTGAGAATACAGAAGAAGCTTGAGAGTACTAACTACAACTAATACAGATCAATTGTAGAGCAAAAGAATTCATCAGTAGAGCAATTGAATCGAAGATGTACATTTGAATATTTCAAGAGCATGGACTTTCTTGACGGTAAGATATCCATATGACGGATGAAATCTCAAAAATGTGCTAGATATGTTGACAGCAGAATGTTTACAGTTTAGTGTTATAATCAGAAGGTATGATGTCTTGAAGTCGCGACATCAGCTCCTATGTACTGGTCTCACCAACCGCAAACCTAGCTAAATAAGCTGATCGTGAGCAATTGGCGAATGGCTTCATCCTGTTAAGAATAATGTTCTACGTTAGAAAGAGCAGCACCGTCGTGATTTAGCTTCTCAAGTGCTATGGTGGTATGTGATTTTTTTT